TAATGCAATTACTGTGTTCTTGCTTTGGGCAGCCGATTAGAGGAGGGGCATGTCACAAATGAGGAGATATTTGAAGTTAAATTCCAAAATTCTTATAAAATCATATTGGTTCGAAGTCATTGAACGTTCACGTATCTGTTTATTATTTCCAAAATTATTGAACCACGAACTTTCGATTAATAGTTGAACCCAAACACAGGCGTGACAATGACTTCAAACCATCCACCTGACTTCCTCACTGTCACGTTTCCAAAATATAGATTAAATATATAAAAGGCGCGAGGAAGCCAGCACAGGGATCATTTTCGAACATTCAATCATTCGATCATTCCGATCTTTTCGATCATTCAATCATTTGACTCGATCGATCATTCGGCACTGTGCCCGAAAGATGCCCTTCCTCTAAGGTCTCAGCAATATTAGCTTTCAATGTACATATAGGGTAAGTTAAGTTTTTATTTATTGTTAATCAGAAACCAAAGAATAAATGTGTGTATATGTTTTGTTGAAAACCTTTTGGAGTATTCTTTAATATTATCACTTTGAAAGTTCATTCTCTAATAGATCTAGAGCACAACTTAGGCAACCCCGCCTACAGTTTGTGACAATATGGCTGCTAAATTCAAATTTTCCATCCTTCACCTTCCGTCTTTATAGATCCAAAAAGTACATCTCATTTTGGTCCCATTTTTGTTCAGATATCGTAAAAGAGATACGCCATATATAGAAATAATAGATATATGTTGAAAATTGAGTTGAAGTCATTATTTGATTGTCATCGTATTGAAGTATTGAATAGTACATTATATACCGCGGGACTGAAGTAGTACATTTAATCCTGAAGGTAAAGTTTATGGCCCGACCGCAGGGAGGGCCATAATTTACCTGAAGGATTAAATGTACTTCAGTCGCAAGGTATATACGATACTTTTCGTACTTCCGGTATGATTTTATTAATTATTTCAATAATTTCAATCAGTTTTTTCTCTCTTCAACTCATTTAATAAACTGTCTTTGAAATAAGTTACCATAGTAACATTGCGTTGTGACAGTTATAATTTAGAAACATTGTCATTACTAGTGTCATTGTAAAGAAACATTGTTATTGATAATAGGTCGCGTGCAAGAACTGTCAGATGACCGACCCTGGAGGCAAAACATATTTGTTTACAAGTGATCGAAATAGTTTTCCACAATTATTTTGGCATATGACAAAAACTGCAGCGGAAGATGAAAAAATCCGGATGGTACATTATGATTCAAAAGTAAGTACCTACTATAGTCACTCACATAGTTTTCATTTTTGAAATTTGGTTATTTCTCTGATTTCTCATCGGAATTCCTTCTGCAATAGGATCAGCTAATAGAAATATACCTAAAATTTCTAGAATAATGCAAGAAGATTGGATGCATGCAATCAATCGGTAGGACTGGTCTGACATGCTGACGATCGTGTGTGTTGTAGACATTTTCAATCTATTAGCAGCATTAGCTTGTATTGCAGAAGTGGCAGAGGGCAGAAGGAATTTTAATAAGGAATGACAACATTTCATAATGCTAACTATGTGAGATTACTATTTACCTGAAAAATCATATTCCCTAGTCTCTTGCTGCATTTTTTGTTCATTGTACAACAGCACAATGCGAAGGCATGCTTGAATTAATGAATAACACAAGAAACACGATTCGTATGCCAAAATATTGTGAAAAACTAGTTCAACCTTTGGATTCCTCTGTGAACAAATGAAAAAGTGAGGTTGTGTTCCAATAATTCACAGAAGAGTGAGGTTGTGTTTCAATAATTCACAGAAGAATGAGGTTGTGTTTCAATATTTTGCCTCCAGGGTCGGTCTTCGTGCACGCGACCTATTATTGGTATCATGAGTGAAGAAGGTGTATCTGATATTGATAAAAGAGCAGCCGAAGTAGGTGAAGAATTGTTACCACCGAAATCTAGAAAACTATACGAGCAGCAGTACGATGCTTTTAAAAAGTGGTGCCGCTTAAAAAATGTGAGACAACCTACTGAAAATGCGCTGTTAGTCTACTTCGATGATAAATCAAAAGCGGTTTGTGCCTCAACTCTCTGGGCACATTACTCAATGCTGAAATCGGTTATTAACATTAGAGAAGATATTGATATAAGTAAATTTCCAAAATTATTAGCTTTTTTGAAGAGAAAAAATGAGGGATTTAAGCCAAAGAAGTCAAGAATTCTCACGTCTGAGCAGGTAGATCAGTTCTTACGGGAGGCTCCGGATGATAAATATTTAATGCTTAAGGTAAATTTGGAAATTTGTTTATATTCAGAAATTTTAAGAAATCAATTTTTTTGTAGGTTGCACTTATTTTGGGCGTTGCGGGAGCTTGTCGTGGAAAAGAGTTGGTTGATTTAGAAATCGACGATGTGAGAGATTTGGGCGATTCCTTCCTAATTGCGATTAGAAACACCAAAAATAAAATTGACCGAAATTTTGTGATCAAAAATTCAGAAAACAGTGCCATCAGTTTTGTGGCGATATTTCGGAAATATGTGGCATTGCGAAAGACAGGGACAACTCATTCAAAATTTTTTGTTCAATACATCAACAAAGAATGTACTACGCGAGTAGTAGGAAAAAACATGTTTGGTACATTTCCACGGCAAATAGCAGCTTTCTTGAAATTAGAAAATGCGACGTCTTATACGGGACATTGTTTTAGACGCACATCTGCGTCTTTGTTAGCTGATTCGGGAGCAACAATAGACGTGCTGAAGAGACATGGAGGATGGAAATCCTCCAACGTGGCCGAGGGATATATTGAATCGTCTATTAAAAATAAACAAAAAATTTCAGATAAAATATTTGGTCAAGTCGCCGATTCGTCCACTATAGTTATGCCACAGTCCTCATTCTCGCTTCCTGTTTCCGCAGGATCTTCGAAACAAACACCAGTTCAATATGAAAAGGACCTATCTGTTACTCGTCAGTTACCTGCTGCATTAACCCAGGAAAGACTGGTCAATATGACGAACTGTCACAATATTAATTTGAATATTAACGTTAATTACCATTCTAATTAATTATATTTTTCAATAAAATATCCCTTAAATTCGTTTGTTTGTGATTTAATCGTTCCGGGAGTTTCGTCAATATTTAATCCCGGAGGGATTAAATGTGACACTTTAGTACCTGTCACAAGGGAGTGAAGTTGTCACTTTAGGCCCGGAAGTACGAAAAAATATTAATACACTTGATTCTGTGAGCAAGCTCTCGGGTGCGTTTTTCATTCCAACATTTTATCATGCGCATGAATCGAAGAAACCATCAAACTGTTGCAAAATTCCGCTGGAATGTTGATGGACATCCATCAAACTGTTGTAATAAAATGCACACTTTTAAATCGCATTTCGAGAATCCAGCAGTTTGGAGGAGATTGACGTGACAGTTGACACATTTTAGTGTTGTTTTTTGTTTCGATTTGATAAAAAACAATTAATATCGAGGATTTTTGAGATTCTTGAGAGATTTTAGAAGAAAGACTCAGTGTTAATCAATAAAATCGAATTAGCCTCTTCTGATTCTCAAGATACATGATGACTGACACACAACAAAATCCGTGTTTCCATCAATGTGTTGTATAAACCATTGTTCAATCCTTCCAGCATAAATTCCAACAGAAAAATTGGTGACGTCACGACAAAAAACCGCATCTATCAGTGCGCACTTTCTTCGATGGAATGAAAAACACGCCCCTCTACTGTGGTTTTCGGTTTGTATTCGCGATAGAAATTAAGCGTACGCTACCTATCGGTTGGTTGTTTGTTCAGATCTGAATATTTATTCCTAGTAAAATGACAGGACTCCTTGATGCAAAACTCCTTGATTATCCGGAATTTGATAATTTTGACTCATCAACATATTCCGAGTACAAGTACGTGCGATAAAAAATCCTATATTTCTACAAGAATGTTTGCAAATCTATGCAAAATCAACACCTTTTTCACTGTATGAATCAAATTTAACAGATGTCATACGACATAGTCGGCAGCGCACTTGATATTCAGCCGTCATTGGTCATACAGCCTTTTAAGAACATCTGAGAAATAACGTACAGTCGTATTCAATAAAATAGAGTACAAGTATTAAAAAGAGAGAATTTCGGGATCCTAGTTCTAGTTGTGTGAAACTGGCTCAGCCAATGCTCTGTGTTTTCGAGAACCTATGACAACTTTACCAAAGAGGCCTACTATTCTTTGACTTTACTGTCAACTTGCTGTCAACATTTGGTGAACAATCATTCCCCATAGCCCGTTTTATGCAAAATGGGATGATGTTAATTTCTCTCTGTAATATACTCATATGCTTTTTTTGAATGCGACTTTACATCCTCATAAAACGAGAGCCTAAAGTTCTCGAACCATTCCCATACCTCATTGTCAGATTGGTCACAGTGAATCACGTGATACATTATGAACGCATGCGCATTCTCTCATAGAAAAAATATTAACGAGATCCTTGGGGTCTCGATAGGAAGAAAAAACATTCTTGAAAGCCTAAAGGGCGCCGTACATTATGCTATTTACCAGCAAGTTCAATGCAATGCAATAACAATAGATGGAGACTCAAGTTGTCGCAAAATTCATCACATCTACTGTGATGAAATTTTATGTATTGCAAAAATGGAAATTTTTACAACACTTCGCTTTCAATGTAGCGCACAATATCAGTTTTTACAATAGGTGTTTTCACAATACATGCATCCTAGTTTCGGAGAAACACGAGCTCCATTTGTATTAAGAGTAAAAAAGACCTTCATTCGAATCTCAAGTGAGATGTTCTGATATTACATGGATATTACGCTCACGCTATTATGTTGGCAGCTGGAATGACGGATGTAGTTTGCGCAACTGTCGGTAGGCATTGCATGAAAATGACAAAATGAGAAGATTCTCTTGACCTTGACTCCAATGACAAAATGACAATGACATTGACTGAGGATAGTAGATGAGATATTGAGATGTAAATGTCACTGATGTCAGCTCGATTGCTTTGCATGTTTTGTTTATAATTTTATAATTTTCAATACTGGATGCAGATTATTATAATTCTACATAAATTCTTTATATCGAGGTGTTTATAAGTGTTGAAAGCTGTTTCTTATTCTTGTTTAGATCAAACAATAAAGATTACTGTTCAACATGGACAATAAAACAGCATTGAAAAAGGTCTTTTTATGGGACAAAGACTCGGACAGCAACAGCATACAAGAAAGGTTGAGGCAACCCAAACTGTTCACCAATGTTGTAAGCAATAGTTCTCTACAATCTAGCAGTCAGAGGAACTCAGATATCATACAGGACAGCATGCAAGCCAATAATAGGGAACCCCAAATTTTCACAAGTCCCTCAACAAATCCTTTAAGCAGAAGTACTTCACAATCAAGCAGCCAAAACTCTAACAGCATGCAAGCCAAATTCAGGGAACCTACAACTTGCAACAATGATTTAAGCGGTAGTTCACAGTCTTCCAGCACACAAGCAAATTTGAGACAAAGGAGGCAACCCAACAATGTCAGAAATCTTTCAAGCAGTTCTTCACAGTCTAGCAGTCAGTCAGGATCGGTAACAGAGATTACTGGGGTTCTTAAGGGAATCCAGAATTTGCAGTGTTCTCAAACAGGTTACCTCAGCATACAAGAAGTTGCTGCCAAATCAAACTTGAAAGCTGAAGCAGCTGAATGGTTTCCACTTGGGTTTCAATCTCCATCTACCACAAACTCAAGCACAGACACCTATGTAGAACCAGTACATAATACTAATAGCAGTGTTCAGAGCAGGTTGCTAAAACATAAAATATCATCTGATAATGAGATAGTAAACTATTCAACTAGTGATACAATATTTCAAAACAAGGATGGTGTGGAGGATGATGAGTATGATTATTCATCTGATATGAGGAGAATAAAACACATCATTGCCACCTTGACAAAAGATCCAGGACAATTTGATAATTTATTGGAGATATTTTTGGAAACTCTAATGCCACATTTGGAAGACATTACTCCCATTTCAATTATAACACAAACTTTATTGGATGAGGTATGTTCAATAGATTTGAGTAGTTTTGTAGATATTTATTATTATACTGTTTTAGGCACTCACACACCCAAATTTCAGATATACTGGTGCCAAATTATGTTGGTATATAGAACAGGCTTCTCCTGAATTCAGAGCAGAATTACACCTGAGGTGTAACAAAAAAATTGAAGACAGTCCTGATATCCAAAATGTCTCACTATTTATTGCAGAACTATATACCCAATTACCACATCTCAATATATATGGTGCACTTCTCATCAGATCATTTGGAAAATTATTTGAAAAAGGTGGAAATGATGATATCAAGTGTATCTGTCAGGCACTTAAGGTAAGTGTGAGTAGAATTCTTCAATGGATTGACATTTTTGTTTTTGAACACTTTCTGGCACTGGCAGTAAGACACATCCACAAATTAATAAATTATAACATATTCCACTGGTTTGCACTGACATGCTCGCTGACATGGTATGGGTGCATATTTAACACTGCACTGACTTCCAACAGAATTTGTTTAGTTAGAACCAATTAAGAGCAGATGCATGTGGATAATTCTAATTATTTTGGCACTGTGTGGATGAAGTTCAATTTTGACATCATGAATATTCCACTGGCCTACTCGTATGTTTAGGATCAAGCTAGATCTAATCAAATATCTTACTTTAAAATTGACACATAATCAAATTATTCCTCAAATTTCAAAGTAGGTATGAAGAAAAGTATCATTTGCAGCATAATAGGTAAGTATGGGGACATTTTTTGAATAATCAGAGGTTTTGATGGTGTATAGTAGGTATAGTCCAACAAAGAGATATAAAAAACATAAAAAATACAATATAAATAACCAGGTGATTTTCATGTCAGTCAGGTCCCTTTCACATACAGCCTCTTTTCTTGAGTAGGGGAGATAAGGAAAAATTACTTCAAACCTTATGAATTTTTTTACATTCTAAGTATATCCTATTATGGATGAAAAATTTGGAATTTTTAATTTTACTTTCACAAAAGAATATACTTGGGTATAATAATCATAAACTCAACTGATTCATAAACTTTCTCCTTCGAATTTCAAAAACATTTTAGATCTCCCATCAATCAAGTTTGACAGTTCAGCAATTTTTTCACCAGTAGCAAAAAATACCGTTTTCTTGCAATGGCTTCAATTAATTCCAAAATTAGCTCTTCTAGTTGACGTTTTTATTACTGACACAAGAATAGGTACCTTTGTTGCTAGGCAACACTTTCAGTTCCGAAAGTTGTACTTTAACTCTCAGGACCAGAAAAAGATGTTTTCTCTGTTGACATGATGCATGTCAACACAAATTGTGAAAAAATGAAGTAGTCTGAGGCTTTAATTTTATCCACTTACTTATAATAATAATAATAATAATAATAATAATAATAAAGTGCTGTATTGGTTACCCAATTGGCCACCAACCAAAGTCCTTCAGCCGGTAATAAATTGAAATCTATTGTATTTCATTTCTTTGATTGAATAATAAAATATAATTATATTTATGTGAATTATTGTTTGATGTGAGTAAAAAAAAGAAGGAAAGTGTTCAAGATTGATCAATTTCTTAATTTCTTGGCATTTCTGCAATGTTGGTGATGCATTCCACCAAGGTGTTTACTGGAAACTTGTGACTTGAGGTCTCTGTAGGGTGTCTTTGGATGCACTGGGTTTGAATGATCTGCAGGTTACTTTCATTGTTGAAGAACTTCTGTGCTAGTTTTTCCAGCCTCTCGCTAATTGGTTGTACCTAAGTGAGTTGGTAGAGGTACTTACTAATATTATTATAATAATCTGCCAAGTGAGTCACTTTGGGTGGTTACTTCACTTATATTCATTTCAGTCAGTTGTTAATTTATGTTGATCAGTATTGATCAACATTGCAGAAGCCATTGATACTTGCCATTTGGCTCTTTTCATTTATATAATCAATGATTCACAAATATTCAATGCAAACTTTAAAATGTAATATCAACCAAAATTAATGAAGTTTGAAAATAAGAATATTAGATATAAAATCTGGGTGCTACCGAGGGTGCTACCCATCTGTATGGTCAGAATCGATTAATTATCAATTTCTTAAATGAAAGTGAAGAGGGCACTAATTTAAGCCATGAAGAAGAAGAAGTGTACCATTGAATATTTTAAATTTTGATAATTGGATAGAGATGCTCATGAGCATTTTAAACATTGTACAGCAGAATAGGTAGTATATAAGTAAGGTATGAGTATAAGCATAGGTTAGGTAGTTAGGTGATTTTTGATATTGTTTGATCTCCTACTACCATTACTACTGCTGAATAATTAAATAAATAAATAAATGAAGCAAGAACTGATAGTAAACATACAGTGTGACCCACTTCTAATGGAAACACCCCTGTATCTTACATAATCGTTGGGTTAGAATCCTGAAATTTGCTGGAGCGAGAGATATACCTAAAATGCACTCTATGACCACTGCTTGCAAACAGCCATGAAACTACCCCAAATTCCGGAAAATGATATTAGGAGTCAAAATAGGTCGAAAATCACTTCAGTTTCGGAATCAGGACGCCCAATTTACTAACTATTCAAATTTTTCCTGAAAAATTTTCAGTTCTGAAAAATAAAATTTTGTCGCACTTTTTATGGAAGCACCCCCGTATCTCACGTAATTGACTTTATCTTTGGACTTTCTCTTCCTCCTGCAAATTTCAGAACCCTACCTCAATGATTACGTGAGATACGGGGGGTTCTTCCATGAGAAATGAGACAAAATTTAATTTTTCTGAACTGAAAATCTCCTAGGAATACTTTGAATAGTTAGTAACTTGGGCGTCCTGATTCTGAATCCAAATTGATTTTCAACCTATTTTGACTCCTAATATCATTTTCCGGAAATTGGGGTGGTTTCATGGCTATTGGCGAGCAGCGTATATCACTAAAGATGACCCCACTTGGTCATAGAGTGCATTCTTGGTATATCTCTCGCTACAGCAAATTTCAGGATCCTTACCCAACGATTACGTAAGATACAGGGGTGTTTCCATTAGAAGTGGGTCACACTGTACATGATATCCTCATGAGATCAATTTCAAAGTTGTGTGGAATTGAAAACAAATTGGCAAAATGATGAGAAGTTTGTGCAGTTTCAGGCTGTAAAAATAATTTACTTTGAATAGGTATTCATATTTCCATTAAATAGATCAATATATAAACAGGAAGAATTAAAAAAAAAACAATTCAGAACATGAATTGGAACAGAAAATATTGCAAAAATATTGATTTCAAAGAAGTGTTAGATCAGAAAGAGTTTATAATCGAAAATTCAGATCAGGAATATTCAGATTTTTTAGTAAAAATGAATGAAGAGTTTAGGAATAAAATATGTGTGATGTTAGTATCACATTCAAAACTATTTCAATTCAATTTTGTTGAGAAATTTCAATATGTAGCTGAGACTTGCTTTTGGTAATATTTTAATGCTTAGTAGGTTATGGTGTACTTCTCAGGTATCTTTTCTCGCACCAAAATGATCACGGCGACTTGGACGAATGTAGCACACCATCTTTTAATTCCACCATGGGCTATGCAATCGAAATACAGAAACTAGAAATACTATAAATGAGAACTTATTCTACTAACTTTTGATATTTCTTATTAATTTTGTCTGATAAGTTGAAAATTTACAGGGTGATGAAATTTTCAGCGCCAAATCGACCAAAATTCATTGAACCCTCGTTAATAGCATGTTTATTTTTATGAAATTTTGACTGTATATATGAAGATTCAGGTGTTTCCGAAGAAGTTTCCTTACTACCCTGTGAAAAAAAATCTACATCGATGCACGAGAACTAAAAATATAATTTTTCTATGGACCAAGCATTTTTTTCTTTTGCATGTTCAAGATGCGAAGGTACTGTCGGTTTGAATTCGGCTATCGGCTGAGCATTTTTGTTTAAAATGTGGGATTCATGGTTGTAATCCTGGCAGCACCTCGATGCCCTAGGAGTGGTTCGGATTCTATTATAAGCTGTAGGTCCTGCTCTTCCTAACCCCGCACAAGTTTCGACTTTTGGGGAGTTGGTTCCCAACTTTGATGTAGCGATATACAAAGAAATAAAAAAAATAAATAAATAATCATCCAAAATGTCTATAATAATAGAGGAAGCACATTCCATTATTTTTGCCATGACTGCCATGACATAAAAATTCACTGCCGTTACATTTTTCCTGAAAAATGTTCAGTTCCGAAGAATACAATTTCGTCTCACTTATCACTGAAGCACCCTATATCTTCCGTAAAATTTGAGATCTTATTTTCTGCGAATTTCAGAATCCTACATCATCAATTATTATGAATATTCATCACTGTATATCACTGAAAAGTACCACACACAGTCAATGTGTTTCACTCTCCTGCGAATTTCAAAATCTTACCTGGATGATTATTAGGGATGCACCGGAATTCCGGCGGAACCACTAAATTCGGCTGATCCGGCCAGTTGGCTAGTTGGAGTTCCTAAATGTATTTGACACTACTGTTTTGAAGTTTTTTTTATATCAGAGTACGGGCACTACACAAGCAGTGCCAATCAAACATAACCACAAACGATTTTGAAGCGAGTCATATGTTTCGCCAAACAAGGACAAGAATATTTTTTCCGCTTGGATAAAGGATCCTCGCATCTTCCTTCCTCCACAAGTCCTGGGAAGAGTAACCATATATCTTTCTCTGTCTTTGATTTTTTTTATGAGAGTGCATAGCGTCTCCTCGAGTGGGTAAAAGGGTATTATAAATTGATTAGAAAATTACTTCTTCTCGAAATATTAAATGATAAGGTTAAAGGACCTCAATGGAGGTCGATATCAAGTTGGTATGTACATAATGTTAGAAACACTCCAGAGATACCCACCAAATTACATTAATCACTATAGTATTATATTATCATTATATATGTTGTGTGATTCAGTACCATCACCCCGTATTATGTTTAGAATATCGACGGGTGCTGGTTTTATGACTAAGAGATATTGAATGCATGATTAAGGAGTTACATAAGCTAGATAAGAGAGGGTGACAGGGAATAGTTAGGATGACCAGTAGAGTTGAGACTAGAGAGCTGTAAAGGTGTTATTGTGCTAAAATACAAACTTGATATTTGAAGACGTGGATATTATTTAAGCAGCTTCTCAGTTGTCCCCCCGTAACAATATATACCAACGAAATACATATAATATTCCTATGAAATAAGTCTCTTATATGTAGGTATATCTATACGTTCAGTTGAGTATTTTATTATCACAAAAGTTCAGAATGGGTTAAAAACTGATAAATTTCGACCAATGAAACATACTTTTATTTCGTATGGAACAATTTCCTTTGTATGTACAAGAGTGGTAGGTAATGAGTAATTAATAAATGAACAAATGATGTGGCAACAATAACAGCTGATTTCAGTTCTATTCTTCTTCTATTCGGTTTCAATTTTCTTGTATTTTTCTGAAGATGTTTGCTAATTTTGTTTCAAATAAGAAATAATTTTTAGGTGATAGTTCTGAATTTTGCTAACTTTGACTTTTGTATCTAAATCTTTTTGCTTTAACTTACTTTCCAACTCTTATTTTCATCTTCTATTTGTTTCCTGAATTCCTCACTCTCTTCCACTCGTAAAACTTGGATTTTTGAATATTCCTGCTCTAAAAATTCGATTCTCAAGTCTTTTTCTTTCAAAATAAGTTCGAAATGAATTTCATTATCTGCAAGTTTTTCGTTTCTTGTTGGTTCTAATAATTGTAATAAGGTTCTTTTCGATACTCGCTCAGTTTAAAAATTGTGGGTTCGGCTCTTTCTCTCAATACGATCCTATTCTTCAACATCAAATCTTCCGTTCTGAAGTGTACCTGATGAAGATGCGTTGAAAAATGTTCTATATCCTACCAAGAATTTCGAATACCTCGCAAATTTTGTGGCCTGAACCTATATTCCATGCCCGCCTCATCATATTCTGTTTCCATTTTTGTAGAATTACTTCATCCGATGGAAATTCGAATAGAGTCATGTGTCAATTTGTCAAACCTTTGAAATTTATGTCATGTACGTCCGTGTACAGTCAGTTCCCGCCTTTTTGAATCAATGTCATGAGCGAAATTAGAGCAGCAAGCTGGAGTATGTCAATCGACGAATATTTCCAGGAAAAATAGTATCACGAGTTGAATTCCTATGACTATTTCATGATTGAATGAGACAATATATATAAGAATTAGGAAACATAATTTAAGTATATATTCCAACTCAAACTGCGAAGAAGAACATAATGATAGTAATGAAATACAGAATTCAATTTTTTTGAAATTTACTTTCTACTTATAGTTAGTTATTCACAAAGTGGAATGTACAATTTTGATAAACAGTATTTTTTTTATTATCTTGGAGATGGTTGCTCTCAAAAGAGTGTATACAATTGCTATCCAATTCAAACAAAATAAATTGAATTTATGTGTCATGAAATAATTTTAAAAGAAGATATCGTCGCCGAAGAGTTCGAACCATCGACCATCGTATCTTCGCGCAACAACCCTATCAGTTACGCCACATCATCTGGTAATCATATTAGTCACAATAACTTGAGTGAAGATTACTTTGAAAAGGAATTTGAATTCTAGTATTGTTGTGTCAGACCGTCCACAAATATGCAAACTTTTTAAATTACACATGAAACGTCCAGCCAGAATAGAATTGTCTCGCCTTTCGTACAAAATGTCTCACTAACGCGAATTATAAGTAAATAAAATGAAGCAGGTAGGTACTTAGAGGTTATTGTCCCAGATTTGAATCCAAAGCAATCTTGACCAGACAAGATGTCAAAATTGTATCGCTGATAAACGAGGTTTGTTGGTCACGTGTCAATTCGGCTTCTGTATTGGTAGAGCAAGTCCGATAAAATTTAATAAACAAAAAATATCGCTTTAATACAGAAGAAACCGTGAAAATGGTCGATTCTGATTGGTTCTCGAGATCAGGAGTGGAATAGTCATCTGTAAAGAAATATCAAATAATAATTATGATTTTTTGCAATGACAGGTGAATGTGTTTCCATGCATCAATTTGAATTTATAACCCTGGGCAATAAGGAATCGTCATATTCGAAACTAGACTAAAACAGAATTGCTGTTAACAGGGATCGAATAAATTTTGGTTGATTTTCGTTCAATCAATTGTTTATTGGTGTGGTATTCTACAAAAAATGTATTTACACATGTCAATCATAGGGGGAAAGTGACTTCTCCAATTAAAAAAATATATTTGATTAAAAAAACAAGTGCATTATAAGGACAGAAAATTACAGTCCAAAAACTCATCAAATGAATAAAATGCTTTCTGCAGTAAAAATTTCTTAAGATTTCCTATGAATTTTGTATTGTTCAATTGTTTTTAATTATCAGGTGAAACATAAAAAAAACGTACGGCAGGCACCTAGGGCCATCTTGACATGTTTCTAATCTACAGAATTTGGGTTTCAAGCATGTTTTGTTCCTTGTATCATGGTCATGATTATCCGGATGAGTATCATATAGATGTAGTTTTTTTTTAAACACAGCTTAGATATTAAAAAATGAAAACATGGGAAATGTCTACATCTCTGAATGCTTGCCTACAGTCATCACGATAGAGTAAACCTGCAACAACTCTAACTGCCTGTCTTTGAATTTTGAAGATCTCAACAGCACTCTCAGCATGTCCCCAAACCAATATCGCATAAGAAATGTGGCCGTGACAATGAGAAAAAATAGAACTGTCTGACAATCATTCTATCTGCACACTGAGAAAGATTCCTCAGAACAATAATGTTTGTGTTTAGTTTATTGCATACTTTTTATACATGTGGCCTCCAGTTTAACCCTAGCGCGTTCGAACCTGGTTTGATTCCCTTAGTGCGGCGCTAATAGCCGTCATCCGCAGTGTAGCGTCTAAATTTGTCATTTTATAATTTTGTATTTTATGGTTGATATCAAAGAATAAAAATTGAATGAAAAAAATATAGTTATACAAGGTGATTCTGAAATAGGTGGTCAAACTTTGGGAGCATATAGAGTGGGTGAAATAGTTACGAAAACCTCCGTAACATTTTTTTCTGAAGTGACCCCCACGTAGGATACAGCCCCTCAAAGACGGGCCTCGGAGAATGATTGTGTATTATTATCTCCAACACCTTGTATAACGAAAATCTGAAATTTTGTCCATCCACTTACTATTAAGTGCCGGTTCGAATGGATTTAAAATCACCTCAAAATCAAATACAGGGGTGTGTCAAAATAGGGAGGTAAGGGGTAAAAATAACCCCAACTTTTTTGTTCATTGCAATTTCAGTTTTTCGACATGAAATTATGAAATCTCAGGGCTATTTACATAGAAAAGGTGCTCTTGTTGCATCTCGATAAAATGAACTATTAGCGAATAAAATTTATTTTTTCAAGATATCATTCAAATTCCGATTTTGGTATGTACTTACTTAAGTTTAATTATCTAGGTAAAATCTCGCAACTGAATTTTCACGTACTTCTGATCGTCTGATCAACTTAGAATCTGGCAGATGACAGTTGACAATGCGTTGTGGCCGCTCCAATGTGGCTGACCAGATTTGTGATTATGGTCTCTAACTCAGTGTTGAATTCTACGTTCCATTTCGTTGGAGTTATGTTGTATGAAAATGTAATAAAATAAGGTAGAAAAAATCAGTGATAATAATGCTTCCGTTCAAATGCTCCAGGAAGTGGAAGAAGATATCTAGAAGCATTTTTTTCTCATTTTTAGAGCCTTTACCTTATTTCATTTTCAATTTCTCATTTCAATACTTGAAATAATAAAAGCTTGTTTTTAACAATATTTTTCATTTTAGTATCTTCAATAGGATCAGACCATAATCACGAAACTCGTCGTCTATTTTTAATTCATGAATTCCGACAACGAATTCAAAATTTCCAACCCAAAAAACCCTTACAAACCAAATTGGAATCGAATCGGACATAGATTATCTTCTGTAGTCTATGCCATAATCAAAAATCTGGTCAGCCACATTGGAGCCGCCATATTTTTATCTATCAAAAAGTCCATAACGCGTTGTCAACTGTCATCTGCCAGATTTCAAGTTGATCAGACGATTAGAAGTAGGTAAAAATTCAGTTGCAAGATTTGAACTGGATAATCAAACTAAATTTTATTCGCTATTGGTTCATTTTATCGAGATTCCACAAGAGCTCATTTTCTATGTTAATAGCCCTGAGATTTCATAATTGTATGTAAAGAAACTGAAATTGCAATGAACGAAAAAGTTGGGGTTATTTTTACCCCCTACCTCCCTATTTTGACACACCCCTGTATTTAATTTTGAAGTGATTTCAACTTCATTCGAACCGGCACTGAATAGTTAGTACATAAACAGAATTTTAGATTTTCATCATACAAGGTGTTGGAGATAATAATACAAAATCATTCTCCGAGGCCCCCCTTTGAGGGGCTGTATCTTTCTTGGGGGGCACTTCAGAAAAAAATTGTACCAAGGTTTTTGTTATTATTTCACTCACTCTATGTACTCCCAAAGTTTGACCACCTATTTCAGAATCACCTTGTATATTTATATTTATATAGTGAGTTCTTGGAAGCTGTCAAAGCGGCATGTTTACTTTGTTCTCATTGCTTCACATGTGTTTTTTGTTTGTGTTCATTGGTCTTATCATCAAAACAAACCGCTCAAAAGTGTTCAAGTTGTTGCCGTCAGGTCGAGTTATTTTCTATCATGAATAGTCTGGAATAAGACTGGTATAGCTGATTTACTAAATGCATTTTACTGAAACTTATCCATCTTTTTTTAATGCAATACTTCTTGTAGTTGACAGGATACTCTCTAGAGCACAGTAATAGTAAGGAACTGGATGGCATTTTCAAGAAACTGAGGGAGGTGAAAAGTTCTGTCAGTGGAACAGCTTTAACACTGTTGAATTCCGTACTGACCTTGAGATCAACAAACTGGGGGCATACTAGTGATGTATCTGAGTAAGTAAGGAAAAAAATAGTATCATGACGAAATAAATTCCCTATTATACTCTGTTTCTTGGTTCCAAACTAGTTCGAATTTTTGATTCTAACTATCGGTATTTCCGGAATGTTTTTTGAAGATTCTGGTAAGTGGATGGGAAGGGGTAGCGTGTAAAGATGGCCAGCTAGGTCTCCAGATCTAACTCGCTTAGACTTTTATCGATGGGGAATATTGAAAGACTAGGAACAATATATAATCAATAGTATTGAAGAAGCCATCAAAAGCATACCAATGCGCGAACTGAAAGCTGCAGTGTTATCCACACGACAGAGACATCAGTTCATTTAAAAAAAAATGATGAGAAACAATTTGAACTATGATTATTATTTCAGTACCTATGTGATTTATGTTCTCTAACATTATTTTAATAATATCTCCAGTTTCGCATAGATATCACCTTGCGGTTTCCAAATTTCTTATCGTTTGCTCTACGTTCATATTGAAGTGATATATGATTTCATTTGAAACTTTCAAGAAAAAAATCGAAAACTGCCCGGCCACCACGAGATTAAATCGACTCGATTCGTGATATATCTGAAAGAACTAAAAAATCCTTCATAATGAGACCAAGTTCGTCAAATTCCGTTTCACCAAACTGTAGTGATAATAGTCCTCTTTGAAAATGAAAAGTTGGGTTTGCTTCCGGTTAAAATAGAAGTGATAAAATACATATTTCTGTCAATAAAATGCAATTTGGTATACTTGCAACCATTCACATCTCAAAATCCGGCCTCTCTGTATTGTATTGAAAGTCGATTCAAGTCGTAATTGGTACATGATTTGGAGCAAACGCACACTGTTTGAAAGGATGAAAAAATCAATTGAGTAATGAGTCAAACATGATTCAATGTATTTTTTTTAGTACTGACCCAGCCGTTACTTAATGTAAATCCATATGCAACAGTTGAGTTAGAATATGCCGATGTTCTGTCCTCTTTCTGATTATGAACAAATTTGGATGTGGAGTCATCGGCCAACTGCCCCATTTCGGCTGTGGTGGCCATTTTCCAAAATGGTTTCCAAAAGTCATCAGACGTTAAAGTTTACTGCTGAAAGTTTGTGAATGTTTATTGAATGCCTTCAAGTTATATACCGGATGTCCTCGTAGTGTGGAAAAGCTCTATAGCTCTATTGCATTAAGACATAGAGAAAATCTCTTTGAGGATAAAGAGGGTGACTCATCAAGAATGGGAAATCTCTGAACTACAGATAGTGAACATCATAATATGAAGATTAAGCGTTACATGCCTTATAAAAATGTTGCAAACTTCTGATGTCTTTCGGGTGTCCACTGGCGGGCCATTTTGAAAACAGCCACCACGGCTGCCTGGGGGTAGTTGGCCAATGGCTCCACATCCCAATTCCTTAATATCATATCGGTCTACCTTTGTGCCAAATTTGGTGCCTTTATCAAAAAGTGCACAATAGTTTAGTTAATCTGCTGTACTATAAGTAACTTCACAAACGATGAGATTTTCATAATATTTACAGTGTAAAACTATTGCAGGTCCGAAAACGAAGGAGATTTTTTCGAATATGAAGATGTTCATCATGATACTGTATTCTACAATACAGATGGTGAAGTACTTACCAAAGAAGAAAATGAATTCATTGTTGCCCATATGAATTATTCTGAAGAATTGAGGTAAGTCTTGAGTGGGAGGTATTATTTCTTGATAATTTTCTTTTGCTACCATTTATTCAATTTGTTATGATACTTAAACGATGAAAATTATTCACCCAAATGTTTGGTTAGAAACATGAAGAAGATATGAAATGAAATGTCAAGAGTGATGTGGAAACAGTTGTAAGATGAATATATTCACCTGATTACCTTTCGGAAGAAAACGTATTCTATTTATAATAATTCCAATGATTCATTTTTAAATCAAATGATGTATCACATAGTATATTGAACGCCATCTGCAAAGTAATAAATATTCATATATGCAAGTCATTGTTATGAAAAGGTAAGGAATATTATGAACGACTAACCTCAATACAATGCCCAAGTTGCTACACTTATTGCTTCTTCCATGCACTTTTATTGTACTTCAAAACTGTATCATATAATCCTTATGAATTCTAATTGTAGTTTCATGAATGCATAATTGTTCATTGGTGGTTTTTCCGTCGACCATTGATGTATATCTGAGCAACCTTTTTTTGACCTTACGTTTGGTGCGTAAAATTAGCGATCAAATAAACATTATGATTGTCGACTCATTTTGCCTGAAGGCGTTGGCGATAACTCATATTCTAGTACTTCTTTTTATGTTAAATACGCATCTTTAGGCGTTGTGCAGGACTTATCCAATTCCAGTAAACAGTCTTTGATATCAATAAAGCGAGTGGCTTGTCTAATTTTTATTTATTTATTTATTTATTTATTTATTGAAAATCAAATAGGATAACGACAGACCCCAAGGTCCAGATTGTTATCCACAATTATTACATAGTTTCATGGTGTACATATAAATTAATAACCCAAAAACTAAAATAAGTTTGAAAAATTTGATAATGAAGTAAATAAGATTTATCATTGAAATGATAACAATTTGCTGAATATTCTATGCACTGTGAGAATTGTATATGTATCTGATTTTTTTTTTGAAAACATTCAGTGAGGATTGAAAAATATCTACAGAAAACAACTTTCGATTGTACAGATTTTTCATTCTATGTAGTGGTGAATTTTCTCCTGCGTTTGTATGACAAAATGATACAGAAAATAAAGTATTGTTAGGTCTGAGAAAACGTGAAGGGACATGAATTGAGATTTTTGACAATAGATCTGGAGCGTCAGATAAATTATTTAAAACTTTATACAAAAAAAATATATCAGATTGTTCTCGACGAGCCTCTAATGAATAGAACTGAAACTGTTCCCTAAGTCTACATGTGCTTGCCAAGTGATTATAAGTACCATTAACCTTGTAGTCCATAAATCTCAAAAATTTGTTTTGAATCAACTCTAATCTGTTCTTATGCACAGCATACTGAGGATTCCACACAACCGTTGCGTAATTAAGTCTGCTGTAGACATAAGAATAAAATAATGCTTTTAATGCTTGAATGGAATTGAAGTTTTTACTTTGTCTTAATATGAATCCTAAGGTTTTGTTACTTTTCGTTACAACATAATCGATATGTTCTGAGAATGTCATCTTTCTGTCGAAAACGACACCAAGATCTTTGATTTTATCCACTTTCTTCAAAATGGTGTTATTGAAATTATAATCGTATGAGAATATATTGATATTTTTAGTAAACGAGATGAAAAAACATTTGTTCAAATTGAGAAATATTTTATTTACGATACAATAATCATACAAGCGATCTAGGTCACGTTGAATTAAAAGGTTATCGACTGGACTTTTGACAGATGCAAATATTTTCAAATCGTCCGCAAAAAGTAGAAATTTACAAGTTTCAAATGATGACGTGATGTCATTTAAATAAATCAGAAAAAGTAGGGGCCCTAAATGTGATCCTTGTGGCACACCTGAAGTGACAATATAAGAATTAGATTCATATCCATTAGCTATAACAATTTGTGACCGATTAAATATATATGAAGCAAACCAACGGAGCAGATCACCGTGTACACCAATCTCAGACAATTTTGACATCAATATGTTGTGATTAATTTTGTCGAAAGCTTTGCTGAAATCCGTGTACACGGCATCCACTTGGGTTTGGCAATCCATTGCAGATAAAATAAATTCATTGTATAACGTGAGGTTAGTTTCAATGGACCTTTTCGGAATGAAACCATGTTGTTCAGGAATGATACATTCTTTAACTTTATAAATTAGCATTTTGTGTACAATTAGTTCAAGTAATTTACTTAGTATATTTATTTTGCAAATCGGTCGGTAATTACTTATGGAACATTTTTCACCATTTTTGAAAATTGGAACTACGTATGCCTCTTTCCATTTTTTCGGAAATGTGCATTCGTCAAAGGATCTGTTGAATATAATAGTAAGGGGAACATATAAACTGGATGCACAGTTTTTGATAAAAAATGATGGAATACCATCAGGACCACAGCCTTTATTTTCATCGAGCTTGCAAAGAATGTCGTGAACTTCATTTTCTGTGACGTAGATTTTGTTAATCAGGCACTTGTCTGTTTTCGAAAAGACTTGTAATGTTTGATCGTAAGGTTGAAATACACTTCTGAAAAATTTTGAGAAAAGGTCACAAACTGCAGCACCGTCTGCGGATTGATCATCTAGTTTCATTGAATTGGGTAGACTATCATTTCTATTTTTTGCGGATACGAATTGCCAAAATTTTTTTGTATTATTTGGTATATCGTTTTGGACAGTATTGATAAAATTTTTGTAGTCTTTATTTATCATTTGCTTGGTTCTGCGTCGTAATTGACGAAACAACAAGTAATCTGCTGGAGAATTCAAAGATTTCCATTTTTTATGGGCTTTATTTTTTTCTGTTATTAATTTTAGTGTATTTTGGGTGAAGTACGATGGAAAATCACTGAAAACTCTTTTTTTGGGTATGAATTTTTCAATGAGATTATAAATTTTTTCATAGAATACTTCTATGCAATCATCCACGGTTGAAATCCTCTGAAAGATATCAACCCAATCGATATTAGAGATTTCAAAATTTAAAGCATCGTAATTACCTTTCCTGTAATTGTTAAGAGATTTTATGTTTGACTTAAGTTTTTTCAGCACAGACAGTTTTAGGTTGAATTCTATACTCACATGATGAGGGTCTTCTTTCACTAGAGGCTCGCCGTGTTGAAGTTTATCAATTACTAATTTGTTACATAAAATAAGATCTAGTATTCTGTTGTTGACATTTTTTAGATTGTTGAACTGTGAGAGACCATGAAAGCATAGCATATCATTTAGTTCTATAAATTTTTGTTCCACCACAGTGGGAATTAAGAATGAGCAGTTTGGTTTAGGTTCCCAAGAAGTATGCGGCATATTGAAATCCCCACAAATTAGGACTACATCATCGGATATCTCATGGAATATTCTGTAGAGGTTGTTCGTAAAACAAACTAGGGCGTTATCATCTCCGGGGGGCAGGTATACACAACATATATGAATTTTGCTACTATTTGGTTTATAAAGAGTTATCCATATATCTTCGGCTTCCGTTTGCCACTCAGGGTGTTCCACCACTTGCAGCGCACTCCGAGTCGCGATTAAAGCACCTCCACCATCACTTTTCACACTTGTGGAACTCTCACGATCTCTGCGGTACACGGAAAATTTAACATGAAACATATTTATGACTCCTTTATTGAAAATACTCTGAATGATTTTTTATACTGATCGTATAGTAAGTATAAAGCATATAGGCACATTAGACTGTCTACCGTTTTCTGTTCCCATTACCGTGTTGACAGGTATAAACAGGTGAGTTGATGCTAGTCATTTGTACTCATGTGCTATATCATTGGAATTGAAATTATAATGAAGGTGATTTTTTTCGAACGCGTTGAAAAATCGTTCTAGAATCACGGTTGATTGACTTTTAAGAGGGCATATTCCGCAGCGCCTCCGCCAATAAAAGAGGTACCGCTCCCAAGTTCCCCTATAGTTATTGATCATTCTAGAGGATCAATTTTTTTTCCTGGGTAGTCAAAGGTACAATCGATGCATCTTATCGAATGGATTTTCATTTCTTTACATAGACTAATTTATAAACACCTGTAAAGTAGTGCGTTTTTGACCGATTTTGTGAATTTTTTTCTACGTTATGGAATCAAAAATGAAAAAACTACTCGATAAGATGCACAGATCAGATGTAGTACTCTCCAAAAATAATTTTTAATTACTGAAATCTTATTTGGTTTTCGCATGGGAAATTGGGAGCGGAGGCACCGTGAAGAAGAATTTTCCCTGTGGGCGCGGCACTTAACAAAAATAAGCTCCTCCCATAAAGTTCAAATGCCTTATTGATAGTCAATGGTCCTATGATGAAGTATGGTATTCATTATTTTCACGAAATAGTCTGCGATCCAATTTGTCTTCTCATGATACGAACCTATTTATATTTCGTTCAATAATCCTACAATACAAGACTTATACCTGATGTATAAAAAACATGGGTATCATGGAATTAACAAAGCAACTGTGTTATATCTACTCAGTCAATATATTTTTTTAATGCTTCGAACACAGGGTAGTGCTGGAATGTTCTAAACAATATTTTTAGTACCTATAGTCCAACAAATAGATATAGATATCATGCTTCGTCATACCGCCATTTCTATAGAATGGTGAGATGAGCGAAAAAGTACTGCAAGATTTATGACATTTCACATTTTCCATATTATTTTGAAACAAATGAATGAAATACTGATTCACTCATTCACAGATAAATGTCCCAGGTAATAATAATTATATGAAATATATCTATGGATAGAATCCGAGATGGAATCCTTTTGGTGGTAGGTATAGGTATGCGTTTTTTGGTTCCCAATGAATTCAAAGGATCTAGAAGATAATGTATAGAAGTTTGAAAAACTAATGAAACACGCTTTTATGGATAGCCAAACTAAATAGAAGTAGAAAATAAAATAGAAAAAGTGTTTTGATACATATCGACGGTCATCTCACGTAGTGACGTATCTCAGTTCTCCTAATTTTACAG